GGCGCGGCGGCCTGGGAAAACACCCAGCGGTCCCGCAACCGCGGTGACCGCGGCGCCCACCCCCGCCGCCCGCCCCCCCGCCCCGCACCCCAGCTCCAGCGACCCCGGCCCGCGTGGGTGCTCCGGGGACCGCCGGGCCGGGGCTCGCTCCAAATGGGGTGCGGGGCCGCGGGGCGGGCCGCGGGGCCGGGCGCCGCGCTCACAGCGCCTGCGAGACACAAAGGTGGCGTCCCAGGCCGCCGCGCCGCATTTCCCCAGACGTCATCTTTTCAAAAAATATTTAAAAATATTAAAAAAATAACTGAGTACATAAAAAACCCCTGAAAATGACCCTCGGGCGGCCCTTTACCCAGGCCGGGGGTCTAGAGCTCGTTGCAGACTCCGGGGAGAGCCCCAGGAATTCAAACTCGGTGGCCCCCCCCTTCCCCCTGGGCGCGGGCGCCGTTTCCCTCTCGCAAGGGCACCACGCCGCACTTTCAAAAATTATTTTAAAATATCTGCGGGTCCCCCGGGCGCCCACCGGAGACCTGAAAATGTGCCCCGGGCCGCCGGCTTGCTCCAGGCAGGTCCCCCAAGCCGAGACCCCTGCAGACCGGGGTCAATCCCCAGCGTCTTGGGGGGCCACGCGACCTTGCAGCTCGGCGTGCTCTCCGGCCCAGGCTGGCCGTGCGGGGCGCCCCGGGACTCGCAGCTTGAACAAAGGGGCCCCTCTTCCCGAGCGGGGTCCCCCCCAAGCTGCCCGCGCTCCGTCCCCGCGCCCCTCCCTCCGGTTCCCGGCGGCCGCGCGGCCCCTCGCGGCGGCCCCAGCGCCTCGCCGGCCGCTCCCCGCCCCCACCCTGCCCCCAATTATTAATAAACACTTTTGCTTTGCAATAAAAGAACAAAGATGGCGCATAATACTGGCACGAGCGGCCCTTGCATACGTGTCCGTGGATATTAATTTAAAAATCAAATCTATGCCCCCTCCCCCTGGAGCAGGCGGCTCGCGGCCGCGCAGAGAGGAGGCGAGGGGGCTCGGGCTCAGGCAGGGGCCACAAAGGGCGCCCAGGCCGCCGGCCCGCACCCTCGAGCCAACTGGGGTGCCCCTGGCATTGGCTTTCCCCGAAGGGGACCCCTCCCCGACCGCTCCACCCCCACCCCCCGCCAGGATAGGGAATCTCAATCGACCCCACCCCCACCTCCTCCCCGTTCAAAAAATACCCACAATATCTATATATTGTGAAAATGCGGTTCCTAGCAACACCCCGGCAAACTTCAAAGTTGAGGTGGGAGAGAAGGGAGGGAGACGAGCGGCAAAGAAATGTGGGTTTGGGCAACAAGTTGCAGGAAAGGTCCTAAGAAAGCGGCCCGAAGCCCCGCACCTCCAGCATCCAGGTGGCCACGATCTTCCGCATGGACGGCAGGATCTCCTTCTGCACACACTTGAAGTAGGACACCGAGGGCGCGCAGGTCTCCTCCGCCTTGAGCATGGCCCGCAGCACCCGGTCGTTGAGGAGGTTGGCATCGGGGTACGCCCGGCGGATGGTCTCCACCTCGCAGCATAAGAGTTGGTGTGCCATGGCTGGGGCTCTGCTGGGCGGCCTGGGGACGGCGGTGGGTCCCGGGTCGGTCCGCGCTCGGCTTTAGCTCCCGCTGTCCCGCGCTCCCTCGAGCTCGTCTGCCCCTCGCCGGAGCGCGCGGACGCTGCTGCTCGCTGCTACTGCGCCGACAGCCCTCTGGAGGCTCCAGGACTTTGCAACTTCCAACAAAACTCCCCTGTAGTCCGTGTGACGTTACTGTTGTTAAGCAGAGATCAAAGCCGGGCAGAGAATGGGAGCGGGCGGGGGGGAGGGGGGGCGGGCGCAGGGGGAGGGGGCGCGGGCTCCGAGCGCCGGGGAGCGGAGAGGGGCAGAGCCCAAAAGCCATCCCGGAGGCGCCGCGCCTGCCCCGCGGCGGAGTTGCCCCCGAAGCCTGGTTTTCATAGAAATGCAAATCGCCCGAGGCTGCCTTTCTCCCCGCCGGGGAAGAGGGGTGCAAGGGTGTCTGCCCTCCCCGGTGGGTCCCCTGGGATTTGGGGAGTGGGTGGAGGTGGCTTTGCAGGGGGGACAACGGGGGGGGGTGGGCCACACGCAGCCAGGGGAGAGCGCATGGTGGGGGGGGGGACTCTGGGGCCCGGCGACACCCTATACACGAGCCGGGAGAATGGGCGCATTTCCGAAAACGCCACGAGGGCACCCACGGGCGGACAGGCGGCCAAGGAATCTCAGCGTCTGCATCTTCTTTCATTTTCATTAACACGTGTAAATTTCAGGAACCATTTAACATTCAGGGACGCGGAGCAGAGTCCGCGACCCTGGTGGAGGCTTCATTCCCCGCGCGAGGGGGGGTCGTTGCAAATGCCCGAAGGGGTATCCCTAAACCCTAAAGGGATTTCAGCCTAGCATGAGCTCGCTCAAAAAATAAAATAAATAAAATAAATGCCCGAAAATTCCAGCAGCAGCCCAAGATGGTGGCCAGCATTTCCTTCATCCTGTCCTCCTCGCCTGGGGGATCTGCGAGTTGGCTCCCTACCTTGACCAGTACATCCTTTTAGGGATCCCCAATCTCCCCAGCCCCCCACCCCCGTCCCGGCAATTTAACAGCTAGAAAAACACCCTGGATGGAAGGCTGCGAAAACTAGTTGTCTCTGTCCTGCCTCATTTTTTAATTAAAAATAAATTAAATCGTTGGAAATATTAGTCGCGTCTCTGTGACAAGACCACCAGAAGCTTCCTAATCGGTTTTGCTGGGGGGTTTGGACACCTCTGCACCTTTTACAATCAGCCCCGGGCTGCATTCGTGAGCCTGTGGGGGGATGGCAGGGGCTGGCAAAAATTAGAACAATTCCAAGTTAAAGAAATGGGTGTACTGATCTGGTTTTAAACAAAATCTATACGTATTTGTGGTTATACCAGAGGGAACCCAATGTTATCGCTAAACTAAGAGATATACAAAAGAACACAGAAAAGTGGTCTTAAAAAAGTTTTTAAGATTTAGTCTTCTTCGGTTGCTTTTTTTTTTTTTTTTTTTTTTAAATAAAAGGACATTTTGCCCTGTCTTAACTTTTAAAAAAAGTTTTTACACTACCTGCCCCCACTTAAGAAAACTTCATTTACTTCCCTCTGGACATAGTGGAGCGTCATCAAACCGTCGTATCCTCTTAGCAGTAAAGGCTCAAAAAATACGGATGAAAAAGCCCCCTCCCCTTCGCCAAGGGCACACGCAGCAAGACAGGACACCCCCCCCCCGGCGGGGGGGGGGCTGATTCTTCCCGCTCCCCCTCCCCCGCCGGGTATTAGGGTTACGAATATTCCGGGTCCAGGAGGGTAATTACCCCCGGCTCACGCCTCGTAAGCGGTGGGTGGCCCGGGCGGGGAGCGCCCACCGCCGTGTTCCCCCTCCCCGGGCACCCACGCTCAACTTCGCCCCGGGCACGCCGGTGCCTCGCAGCAGCAGCCCGCGCACGAGGGCGGCCCGACTGCTTTTTCATTCATAAAATCCCGACCGGGCGGCTGCCCCGATGATTTATGGGGCTGCGCGCTCTCACCGGGCCGCTTCTGCCCCGGGGGGCGAGGGGACCGAGCCCCGCGAGCGCCTCGGTCCGGTCCGGCCCGGGGCGGCGGGCGACGGCGAGGGGCAGCGGGTCATAAAGAGGCTCGCTCACTACGGCTAAACGGGCTCCGGGTCCGGGAGGGAGCTTCCCCCTAACCCGGGAGAAAGACAGAGGAAACTGGAATTAGCATGAGCCAATGGGGGCGCGGCGCTGTTACTAGGCGGACCGGGCAGATCTCGACTAGGAACTTCGTTGATTTCCCCGCTCAGGGACGGGCGCAAAAGTGCAAGCCCGGCCGGCGAGCGTGAAGAGCCGTCCAGGAACCCGCGGGGGAGGCGCAGGAATTTGGGGCCTGGCGCGGAACGCCAGCGGCCCAGCCCCCACCCCGGGGAGCCCAGAAACGCGTCCCTGGGGCTGCAGAGGGGGCCGACAGCTCCGGGCCCTTAAGGGTGGCCGCTTCTAGGAGAGCCGAGGGCGCGTTTTTATTTTAATGTGTGTGTGTGTGTGTGTGTGTCCCAAAGAGAAAAGCAACTTAAAAAAAAAAAAAAAACAAAACACTTTTCTGTTGCAGTTTAATTTTGCACTGCCTTTAAAAAACCCCACCACGAAGCAGGAACTGCGAGTCCTGGGCTCATTTAAAGTGCTCTGCGTTTATTTCTCGGTGACTATTTGGAGACAAAGGGCCAGCGGCCCAATCGGGAAGGCACTACGTTGGTTGGAAAGAAAAGGCCAAAGTAACCGAAATCACCTTCCCGCTTTCCTGGCCCCCTCGCTCACCACCCCCAGGGGAGACGGCGGCCGCGGTGGATCTTCGGCCCCGAGAGGGCGAATTCCGCGGCCGGCGCGTTTGCCACCGTCCCTGGCTGTGGGAACCTTCATTCAGCGGGGGAAGGGAGCGCGTTCATTCAGGAACCGGCCCGCCGCGGCGCCGACCCCTGGACGCACTGCGGCTGCGCGCCGGCCCGCGGTGGGGCTTTGGGGAGGGGGGTGCGAGGCCCAGTGGAGCTCTTCCCCCGGCCTCGACCTCCCGCAGCCGCCCACCCCACACAGGACCCGAGCTGGCGCACCCAGGTGGGGTCACCTGCAGCCGCATACCTGGCGGCAACTTGAAAGGACCTGGCTCCAGCTCCGCGAGTTTTCCATTGTTAAGCCCTTAAGTCGCTCTGGAAAACGCTTCCGAATGCTGGCCACGGGGTCCCCCGGCGCGGGGGCTCCCCTTCCCCCACCCTGCTCGCCTCGGGCGCGCCCGGAGGTCCACGTGCCTGCCGCAGTGGCTCCGCCTGGGCTCTGCGGTGCCCACCCGGGCGCTCCAAAGCTGCGGGGCGTGCCGGGACGAACTCCGGCTCCGGCGCCCACCTGGGGACGGTCCCACGTTGGGAACGGGGGCAGCCGCACCTCCCACCGTCCCAAGCCGCCCATGTGCGTTTCAGCCCCTGAGAGTTAATTCCAGCCCCACACGGACTAACCCCCTACCCGAGTCCCGGTCGTCCGCCTGGCGGGATGCGGGGACGGGGCACTCCGCTCCCAGCTCTGAGGGCTGTGGGCACGATGTGCCCGGAGTTAAAGGGCAAACCCCAACAGGTGTGGGAGTGGTGGCTCACAACGCCCCCGGTTTCCCTAGGAAGAAGGTGCAGTCTTAGGGGTGAAAGAAGAATCCAACGCCTTGAACTTCGTCCCTCAAAACGCATCGCCTGGTGTCCTGAGCTATTGTATGAAACCCCAAAGTTCGCTAGGAATTCCCTGGACTCTTGCTTGGCTCAGGCCCCTGGCCGGTCTCTAGCCAAGTGTCGCGGAGTGGGAGCCCAGACCGAGCAGATAACCACCTCCAACCGAGGTAAAGAAATCGGTTGGGGGGCGGGGGTAATGACCTAGGAGGCCAAGACGTGTCCGCGTGTCCCGGGGCCGGGCAGGGCCAAGGCCTACCCGAGGTGGAGCAGACCCCGCCCCTGACCAGGGCGCGGAGCGCCGCTGCGGCGACTCGCGGGGGCGCCGCGGAAGCAAGAGGGGTGGCTCATCCGCGCCGGACCTTCCCGGACGAGGACCCGCACTGATACCCTTGTGGACTCCCGCGTGCTCCCGCCCCGCCCGGGAAGGGCTGGCCGCCCCCTCATTCGCCTTGGAGGACTTGTCACTCGCTCCCCAACCCCGCGCTTTCCCGGAGACCGTGTTGGGGGAGGACCCCACATCCTCGTGCCTGCTTCTTTGTGCCCTTGGGATGCCCCAAAGCGTTCCCAGCCTTCGCTTTGGCCTTGGGGGTGGGTGGAGGGATGGCCGGGGTCTTTATTATGGGGAACCTCCGAGTTCTGGGGCTCCAGACACTTGCCAGGAGGGGAAAGGGAAGGACAATTTTTTTTTCCAGGTGCGCAAATTGGGGTTGCACGCCCAACGCCCAGCACCCCTGCTCTTGGGTCCCTTGGCCTCGCGCCGTGAGGGCCGGGGGCGGATCGCGGGTCTGGACCCTCTGGGGAGTTCTGGGCACGCGGAGTCCGAGGGGCCCAAAGGGCCGCGGTCTAACACCAAACCCCGCCGGGGTGCTTGCGCGGGGTTCGACCTACTCCCGCGAGTCCTGGGCGATCGGCGGGGGGCCGGGGTGCGGTCCGATTGGGGAGAGATGGGAGGCGAGAGCGCGCTCCCGGGAACCTGGGCCTTGGCTCCGGAGCAGCTCAGGGCCGCGCCGCGCATTCCGCACATTCCCGCCCGGCCTCGGTTCCGCCGCCACGTGGTTGCTCTGCGCGCCGCGCTTACCGTAGGGCTTGGAGAAGGCGCGCATCCGCGGCCCCGGAGCGCGTGCAGACCTCCCAGGGTGCGGGGCGCGGAGGCCAGTTCCAGCCACCCTACCCAGCAGCCCTCGCCTCTCTCTCCTCTGCATAGATCGCTTTTTTGTTGTTTGTTGTTTTTTGTGTTTTTAAACGTAACGAGTTGTACTGCTGGAGTGGTGACATACTCATTTGTAAAGGCGGGCCGGAAGAGTCTCAGGCCCCACTGCTATTTGTAATTGGGTGACTGTCCATCTGAGGAACACGACCGAACCAGACGAGTGCCTTCCCAGCGGTGACAAAGCTCGTCAGAGGAGCTGCGGCGGCTTCGGATCCTTTTCGCCTCCTTTTCCTTCTTCAAACTCAGTGGGTGGCTCAGTCGATTGGGAAGCTGGGAGGAGCTTAGCCCATAGGGAAAAGCCCAATAAGCTGGCTATAACTTTTTTTTTTTTTGTAAAGTCCTTAAGGGTCTTTTTCTGAGGATCGGTTCCAGATAAAGAGTCCAGCGCATCCCTGGATCCTGAGCAGAAGACCTTGACGGGCAGGATGCCTGCCTCTGCCTCCTGGGTCCCACTGGAACCCATAGGACTGGGGCTAGGCTGAGGTCCCTCCCCCCTGCTGGGAGGGGTGAGAGGGCCCCAGATAGCGCCACCTCCCCCAATCCCCAGTGGACAGATGGCTCTCCCCACAATCACCAAAGGGGGGATGGGGGTGGGAGGGAAAGGCTGTCCCCCTCCCCCCCCAAAATGTGATGCATGCCCATTTTTGCCTAGGACCTACTGCAAAATTTGGAGAGCCATCCTTCACTCACGTACCTGTCCTCATTCCACGCTTCTCCTGCAAGGTACCCCACCCCCAAGCTCATTGCTGTCGTGCATTTCACCTTCCAAACAAACCTCAGAAACACACTTGGTGGGTGGGGAAACTGAGGCACCTTATCCAGCCTCATGCGGCCGGCAGCGTGTCTATGCCCTTAGCCTGCACCTCCCTCGGTGTCGTGGGCACCGTCAGAACAATTTCAGGGGCCTTTGAAGCCGATAAGGATAATAATCTACCTTTTCAAGAATTCATGCAAAGCCGAGCCCTTTTTTCAAGATATCAGGAAGCTTGCAGCCACGTTTGCGAAGCGGCCAAGCCCGTCACCCACATGCATCTGCCAGGAGCCGTGCGGTCTTGGGGAAACCCCTGTCTTCATGTGTAAAATGGGGTATGGCCTCACTCTTCCCAAGGCCACGGAGCAGAGCGATTAAGGTAATATGTGTGAAGCAGTGAGCAGCCCGGCCTGGCCTGGTGTATGTCAAGGCCTGTTAAATGTATTCATTCATGTATTTGTTCTTGTGCAGAAGGAAGGCCATGTGGTGCGTGGTGTATGTGGAATTGATTAAACATCTCCGTTTACATTCAGAAAGAGGATTTAAAAATGACTCTCTAGTCTGTAACTTGCTTTTACTTGCTGAGTTCTCCTGAGCTGGCCGCGGACAGGAGACCTAAATCCTAGAATGCATTTTTAAATTGAAGAGAAGTCGAGCCGTGTTAATCTTCCCTCCTTCCTTCTCACCCTGGCAAAGGAGTAGACAAGCTTACTTAAAAAGGAAGCGCGTCCATCAGGGGCACAAGCGGCCATACAAGACCAAAGGATATAAAGTGGGGGGGGGGGGGGCCCCGGTTCTGCTGGGTCCAAGAGGGCCGGTCCCGCAAGGCACTGCTCAGGTCTCTGGATGAACAGGGCTTGTGCCTGACATCCCTTTGCGTAAAAAGATCCACTCTCTACTCAAGGGGAAGTGGGGAGGCAATCACAAGTGACATTGGCCAAAGACGTGGGTCAACGTGATGCGGCTAGAAGCCGAGAGGCACAAGTGTAACGAGCCGGGAGGCTGACCGCGTCAGCCCACGGCTGGAGCACCGCCTGCCCACGGGGAGGATGGAGAGGGTCAAGGAGCCTGGCTTAAACATTTAAGTGTAGTTGGAGCTTCTAGAGGAGAGAGGGCCCCTGGGCCTGCCCGCCTGGCGGGGGGGGGGGGGTGGGATTCCTGTGCCCCCAGGACTCTGGGTATTTATTGCCCTTTGCGCCTTTGGACTGAGCTGCCTGGTTTCCTTCTGACCCAGAGAGAAGGCTGGAAGTACCAGCTGGAGAGCTTTCAGGCAAAATGCAACGTTAGATGCAGCCGACAGCTGACGTCCCACCGGCTCCCAGGGCCTTCCCGGCTCCCTTCCCTCTCCTGCTTCAGTACTGAGCATGTAGGACGCCCTCAGCAAGGAGCACCTTGCCCGGGAGGGGTCTGTCCTTGACCCAGAGGGATGCGCTGACCTTTAGTCCTCATGCTGGGGGCGGGGGACCGACTCCTGGGCAGCCTCGTGACTTGGGAGCCTGTAGAGAGAGGTGGGAGATGGGGAGACGTGGAGGGTCTTAGGCTGGGTCCTAAGTCCGTGGCGGGGAGGGGGGTGTGGGGATTAGGACCCTGAGCCGGGTGTGGAATAAAGACCTCGGTATTACATCCAGCCCCATGGTGCTTCCTTAGCCGACCATCCACAGAATATTTACCAATACCAGAGAGAAGGGGTGGGGTAGGGTGGGCCAGCTGAGTCCTCAGCCTCTACCTTCAGCCTCAACCCTCCCTTGGCCTTGGAGAGACCGCTGTTACAAAGGGCCACCCACCGGGGGCCTTAAAATGACGGACATTTGTTCCGTCACGGCCTGGAGGCCAGTGTCCCAAATCAAGAAGCAGGGCCATGCTCCCCCCAGAGGCTCCGGGGGAGGCTCCTTCCTGCCTCTTTCAGCCTCTGGGGGCTTCAGGTGTCCCTGGGCTGGTGGCTGAACCCCTCCAGCCTCTGCCTCTGTCTTCCTGTGGCCACTCTTCTGTGTTCCCTCTTCCTCTCTTATAAGGACACTTCCTTGGATTTAGGACCCACACGGATAACCCGAGATGATATCATCTCAAGATCCTTCACTTGGTTACATCTGCAAAGACCTTTTCTTTCTTTTTTTTTTTTTTTTTCCCAAATAAGGTCAGATTCGCAGGCTCTGGTGGTGGGGAGGTAGACATGTCTTTTTGGGGGGCACCGTTTAACCCGCTAGGGCTGGGGAGAGGGAGAAACAGGGGGTGTGCTTTGTGGCCGCTTAGAATAGACAGTCACATCCTTGTGTTTGCCAAGGACTTGGTTTGAGTCAGGCCTTCTTAACTGTTTGGGGGCAGGGAGACAGACCTCAAACATGACTGAGTCACAGTCTCTGTCCTCCAGGGGCTTTCCATGGACACCTGAGATATAGTGCCTGGAAATTGCTTCTGAGTGAGAGTTCATGGCCAAATTGGCAGGTGCCTTCTGCAGGCCACCACTGTCCTCTCCGGACATAGAAGTACCGAGCATTCTGATTGCCATTTGCATTCAGACGGGGGCGAAGAGAAAGGCTTCACCCAAGAATGAGGAAGGGCACAGAATGAACAGGCAAGGAGGCAGGAGAGAATGTTCTAGATGTTTGAACAGCACAGAGAAAACCCTAAGGGAGAAAAGTGCAGGGTATTCTCTTCCCTCAAAAGCAAAGAGTCTCGGGGGCCTGGGTGGCCTCGACTGGTTGGGCGTCCGGCTTCGGCTCAGGTCACGATCTCGAGGTCTGTGGGTTTGAGCCCCAGCTCGGGCTCTGTGCTGACAGCTCAGAGCCTGGAGCCTGCTTCGGATTCTGTGTCTCCCTCTCTGCCTCTCCCCTGCTTGTGCTCTGTCTCTCTCTCTGTCTCAAAAATAAACATTAAAAAAAAATTACCCCCTTTACCCCCATTTTACAGATGAGGAAATCGAGGCCGGCAGACTCATGTGGCCATGGCGGAGCTGGGATGCCTCCTGGCTCTGTCTGACTCTAAAATCCAGGAGAAAGAGGCACATCACAAAGCACCTAGAATCGCGAGGTTCACTTTTTTTAAAAACAGCTTTATTGAGATATAATTTACGTAGCGTAAAGTTCACTCATTTAAAGTGTACAAGCCAGTGGTGTTCAGTCTATTCCCAGAGTTGTGCAGCCGTCACCAAGATCTCATTGTAGGACATTTTTGTCACCCCCCCAAAGAAGCCTTGTGCCCACATGGTGGTCCTCGGGTTTTTCCTTCACCCCCCCTCCTCTGTCAGAATCATGCCCTCCTGAGTGCCCGTGAGCAAGGTTTCGTGTGGTTTCTAGTGCCTCTTGTGTAGCGGGGCTCATCCTGAGCGCACCTCCGGTTGGGGGTCGGTTCCCCGGGCGTTAGCTCTCTGGGACCCAGGAGACCCGAGACAGACCTGGACACTTTGAGAGAGGATCTCTCAACCATTTGCCGCCTCCTGCCTCACCCTTGTCCCTGCTTCCATATTTCCTCCTTTTCCTTCCGCAGGGAGCTCAGAGCGTCTGGAACCACAGACATTTATAAGGAATGTTTTTGGCTGTGACTTAAGAGCCTCTGTAGGATCAGCTCCTAAGTAGCTGTGCGTCCTAAGTAGCCTTGCGTCCTAAGTAGCCGTGCATCCTATGTAGCTGTGCGTCCTAAGTAGCCGTGCGTCCTATGTAGCCGTGCGTCCTAAGTAGCCATGCGTCCTAAGTAGCCGTGCGTCCTAAGTAGCCGTGCGTCCTAAGTAGCCGTGCGTCCTATGTAGCCGGGCGTCCTAAGTAGCCATGCGTCCTATGTAGCCATGCGTCCTAAGTAGCCGTGCGTCCTATGTAGCCGTGCGTCCTAAGTAGCCGTGCGTCCATCCATGCCCTGTGAAGCTGGAGGGGAGGGTAGACATTGCCAGGAACCCTGGCACAGGCATCTGTGTTGCCTCGGCTCTGATTCTCACCGACTCAACCCGCACCTTTAGCGTCCCAGACGTAACCCAGGAGGTCAACCTGAAAAAGAGAAAATAATCTTAGGGACCTCTGTTCAGAACAGGCACCATCCCCACTGTCAAGGAGCGTGGATAAGTGGACCTACCCACAGGGGCCGCGTGAGTCCCGTAACAGGGCAGTGGCCGATGGCGGGGGAGCAGGAAGGAAGAAACCAGGGAACCTCCTGCGAACTCGCCCGAGGGTGATTGCGGGTGTGTATGAGTTACCTACTGCTGTGTAACGAATCAGCCCGGCACCCAGCAACGTACAACAGCCGGCACTTTCTTGAGCAGTGGCTGAAGGTCAGGAAGCCGGGAGACGCCTGGTCAAGCGGCCTGGCTCCAGGTGCCTCGTGAGGCTGCAGTGAGGTGTCCGCGGGGCTGCCTCACCTCCTGGTCCTCACACACGGCTCGGAAACGGAGACAGCCCAAAACAGAGGCTGCAGCCTTTCGCGGCCTCATTGGAAAAGTGGAATGCTATCGCTCCGCCACATGCTGTTGGTCACGTAGACCGGTCCTGGAGCACTGTGGGGGGGGGGGGGGCGCTGCACAGGGACGTGAATGACGCAGGAGACCATTCCGGAGGCTCGTGGACCCGGGTGGGGTTTCCAGGTTGAGGAAGTGCGGGCATAGGGGCACAGGTGGGGACAGAGCCGTGGGTGCCGTGGGAGACGTTGAGTTGTGCCTGGTCTAGGTGCGGCTTAAGCTGATTGTTTCCCGCACGAATCCCACAACTTTGTCCTTGTCAGGTGCACATGCAAGTGCGGGGCTGTGTCTGTTCTGTCCCTGAGGTCACGGGGTCTGGTGACAGGGCCCGGGCCGGGGCAGTCATCCACAGAGTCGTGGTGGGGACGGTACAGAGTCCTCGCGGGGCAGGACGTGGGGCGTGTCTTACTTCCCCCTATTCCTGCCTGTTTTCTGCCTCTGGGTTTCCTTTTCTACCTAAATCCGTCAGCGCTGGTGTTTGTTGATTGCCACAAAACCCGACGAGCCGGGCACCAGCACTGAGAGCGCTCGCGTCCGGCGGGACCCGCGGCTCCCCTGCCACGTATGTGCCTGTGAGAGTCACCCTTGAGGCGAGCTCGTGTCCGATAACCGGGGGGGGGGGGGGGGCAGGAAGAACTTCGGGTGTATTCGGAGGATGAGAGAACATTAAGGGGAAAAAGCAAGATACAAACATATCCAGGCATCACTAGCTCAACTGTAGGACAGACACGGCTGGTTCGAAGGACGTAGGACGAGACGGGAGGAGCTGAGACTTGGGGGGGGGGGAGGGGGGATGGGAACGATGTTTTCCCCTTCCGTCTATATTTTAGTTTAGTTTTATGTTCTTTTTTGTTTTTCTGTTTAGGTAGCGCATGACTTTTGTTTGTTTATTTATTTGAAAGAGAGAGGACGCAAGTGAGGGAGGGGCAGAGAGAGGGAGAGAGAATCCCACAAGGGGGAGAGAGAGAGAGAGAGGAGTGGAGCTCACCCAAAACAGGGCTTGTGTCTTACTCGAAGCGGGGCTCGAGCTCTCCCGACGTGGGACTCGAACTCACGAACCGTGAGATCATGACCCGAGCCCCGCAGGTGCCCTTACTTTTATAT